GAATCAAGAGACCATCATCTGTAAGTTCTATTTTTAGACATTGTTTAGCACTTAATAGTAAGATGAAAGGGGAAACAGAAGAGCCTGTGGTCAAGATGCCAAAGTAAAAAACAAGAATATATGGGTTGGCATTTTTATCTGAAGTGGAAAAAACAAAAGTTATTCTTAGCAATCTGCAGGTATTCTAACTAAAAAGAAGTTGAAGTAGAGTTGAATTTTCTTGCTGAAATTCATATTTGAAAAAGAATCAACTGATGATTCAGCTGAAAGATGATAGATATGAACAAAATTTGAATGGAAAAAAACCAACTTCATCAAAAGGTAAGCCATAAAAGACAAGAAATCAGATTGTGTTTTGGGCTCACCATTGCTGGAACATTCAGAGCCTTATCAGAAGATTGTCTTTTGGGACTCTGTCAGAGCACTGCCAGTTTAAATGCACTTCATCCGTGCCTGTCTGTTTTAAACAAGCAAGAATGAAAGAGGAGGGCCACGAAAATGTCAGAAATTCGTCCCAGCACTAGGCTGGAGATGTAGCACCTGTAAAGAACTTTAAAACCAGTTAAGTTAGACCTGCTGCATTTTTCTCTCTGTCCTGGTATATTCCTCCACTTTTTTCTTTGTCATTCTTTGCCACAAGGTCTTTGTCACTCCTCACTTGCTGGGTGTCATGGAGTTACTTTACCTTTAAGAAAGTTTAAGTTGCTGGGAACTGCCTGGAGTCTTTTCTCCTGACCAATTATCGGTCATTGCTGAGAATTGACAGCAGTTTAGGCCATTGAAAAGTGGGATCAACTTGTGAACCCTACCTTAAAGTGTAAAACCAGAGCTCTCTTGGTTCTCTTTGTTTCCTGGCTGGGAAGGGCGGCAGAGCTCCAGGCCTCCCGCTCCCTGCCCAGGCCATGCGGCCGGGCGGGGACTGGGCTGGGCCCAGCGTCTCCCGGCCGGGGGATGCGGGCCCTGTGGAGGGGGTTTTCTCCGGGCTCCGGCCGGGCCGGGCCGAGCCGATCTCTGGCTCGGCTGCAGGTTTTTTGCTGTAACTAAATTCACTAGAAACTGCTGAGTGAAGAAGGAGAGAGGCTCTGGACCTGCAGCGGGCTGGGCGCGGCGACTACACTCTCCAGAGCAGCCATGAGGAACTTTCCATCGCAGACGGCTCCAGCTCCTGCACCGGCCGAGGCCACAGAACTACCTACAACAGCCTGGGCAAGATTTTAACTCTTTCATTACCCAGATGAGACTTGCGGATTAATCTTTTTATCCAGAGAGAGAAAAAGAGAGTGATCAACATGAAAAGAGACTTTATAAACTACCAGTGACAGGAAAGAAAAGAAGCTTCAGAAAAGGTAGAGAATTAAGAAGATGCTTTAATTAAGCTGAAATATCTTTCTGTTAAAACTATGGAAATGGACAATAAGGTCTTGAAAACACTCCTTTAATTTATGACAGTAAATAGGGAGGAATAGAGTGTTCAAAGTGTAAATTTTGAGTAAAAAGTAGAGTAATTATGGTACAGTGAAGTGCTGGAAGATTTGAAGCCTTGAGAGGCAATGAGAAAACTGTTTTCTAGTGAAGCTCACAGAAACAGATGAAGAAGACTTTTTGCCTTTGAATAACTTATCCTTAAAAATCCCATCCCTGGACTCATGGCCCATAGACACTTGAGAGTAATGTGAAAATGGGAGGAGTGGGCTCTAATAACAGCAGCTCTGGGCAGCTAACATTAGAGCAATGGAAAACTATAACAAAAATAGTTTTTCTTGTGAGAAACTCCATAAATTAACAGGAAGAAACTTCTGTTTCTCTATAAAGACTGGTGAAAAGACTGTAGCAAGAATTGGGACTGTTTTAACCATCAAAGTTCCAAAGTTTTTGTCTCTTTTTGTCATGTGAACAAGGGAATAGTGGGTAGACGGGATGAAAAGGTTTTTTCTGGAAGTTTATTCTGGTGTTCTTATTGTAGTTTGTCAATAAACTTTCTTTCTTTTTCCCTTTTAAGTTTTATGCCTGTTTTGCTCTTGTTCTAATCCATATCTCACAGTAAGAAATAAGTAATTTTCTTAGTTATTGGTTTAAAACCACGACACTGGGCTGGTAAAAATCATCATGTACATCATCAATAAACATTCTAATTTACACAAACTTGTCCAGTTTCAAGTAGTTATGTTTATTGTATTTGGAGTGGTATTTAGGGTATGACCTGCAATGTGATTTATGAAATCTGAGAAACAGTTTCCTTTTTAAAAATACAGCCAAAAATCAATCCGATTTGAGCTGTATTAATTCAGGTGTCAAACTGATACATTCATTTGAATTTATCTCCCTTCAGGTAACACAATTGAAAATTGTCACAATGAGAGTTCATTTTAGCAATAACATGGATGATTTGATGGTAAGGTTAAATATGGTGAAGAAAGTGAATAATTTCATTTCCCAGAATTTTTTGTTAGAATGGCATGAAACCAGCAGCACATCCACAATGCTAAAAGGATTTTAGAAGACTAATTGGATCTTGGGTATTTATAAAATCATGATAAGAGGAATGTTTGCATGGAAGAACTTACTCTTCTGCAGCTCAAATACTATTCAGAAGAAGAATAGACACCTGGGATGGGAGAAAACTGGAGTAACAAAACAGTTGCTATAAAAAGTAGCAGCATATTACAAGATTTGGCAGTAACAGCAATGAAGATGTTTTTAGCCAGGAGAGCAGGACTGCTTGTGTAACAGGCCCAGTTGTGCCATTTGCTGATAGTTTATTAGAAAGAGGGTTAAGAGGGATAAGAGTAACTCCTCCAGAGTACAAAAATTGCTTTGCTGTCTGTGTATGGGCAGTGGTTTGCAAATAAGGCCTGTAAGGTATTCCAAACCCTGAAGGTGGTCCCAGCTCACACTGGGATCCTGCTTGTCCACAGAGGATCTCACCTTGAGGACAACCATGGTGTGGATCTCAAGACCTGGTCACACCTCTCCCTCCACATATGACACAGCTCCTCTGCTCAGGAGGAGATATTCCAGGGTCATTTTCCTTCTCCTGTGATGGGAATCATACAAGCACAGAAAAAGGCGTGCACAAGGTCTCTCTGTCAGTCAGGACATTTCCTTCATGCACGATAAAAACATGTAAGGACTGAAAGGATTAGGCATGAGAGGGGAACCTGCCCTTAGGCAGAAAACTAAATTTATCCTTCTTAAAACTCAGAGGGCAGCCATTGTACAGCATAATGCAAGTGTTAATCCTTTAGCCCAGCTTAGAATGGGGAGACAGCTAATGTTTAATTGGAGTTGCTAGTGCAAAACATCTTGGCTGCATATTTCTGTTTATTATTTTTAGTTTAAGGTTGAAGAGTGAAGTAATACTCCTATTCCTAGCTTAAGAGCTGGAAATAATTTAATATGGTTTCTTGTTTCATTGCTTGTTGGGTCTTTTTCCAAATCACAGAGGTCTGTATTGACAAAGTTTCCAGTTCTGCTGGAACATGGAGCAATGGAGGATGCTGAATTCAGATCTCCTCAATATTAGTGCTCATCTATAGCATCAGCAGGGGGCCCTGCAATTCTACTGAGTGACTTTGCTTCTAGTCAGAATGCCAGACAGCTGGTCCCAGCTGCCCAAACTATACTATCAATCATCCAATCTTTTTGAAAAGATCAATCTGACATTCAAATCCCATAGTCACTACTGAGCATAGATTATAGAATGTTGAAACTGTCAGAATACTAAATCCTGGTTTCATCAAATAATGCAATTCTCCATCCTGGATCCCACAAAGTCTTTTCTCTCCAGTTCTTCTACCACACAGGTGTTTGCTGCTCAGGAACCAACTGGATTATATGTCTTCCACTGGATCATATGTGTTTTGCCTTTGCAAAATCCCATTAAAGACTCCTGTAGAGTATCCAGGCCTCCTGAAAATGACCTAATCTGAAACCTTTGTGGATATATAAAGGGCTACATGAAAGGTAAGGCGCTTTGACCAGGGCCCTCTCCAGCTCAGAACTGGGCCCTCACTGGTTGTTTAACTTGCAGCATGTCTCTCCTCATTCCTTTGGCTGAGCATTGAGAGTAATCACCTTTCTTCTGTTAAATTTAGGAAGTCACAGGAGCAGTTGCTTTTGCTGTTGTTGTTCAGAAATAGTTCTTGTCAAGGTCAAAGTTATGATCATGGCATAATAAAAAAAAAGAATGCTTTTGTTTTTTCAAGTGGAAGATACGTTCAGACTAAATATTTGATGTGTATTTTTGTACTATTCCTCTATGATACTGAACTTTAATTACAGAACAAGGAAAATCAAATAACCTGTCCTTACATGAGCTGGAAATCACTAACACCAGTAAGTTAATTCATTTACTCAAGCCAGTATCAAACGTTTTCCTAATCATCTCTTGCTCTAAAAAACCCAAATCCCTACCAATGAAATATAATCCCAACATTATTACAGAATCATCTCACCTCATGCATATGCACTCACTCCAGAAGCATGTGCAGCCTAATGAGCAAAACCTTCAAAACTCAACAGCTGTCTTGAAGAACCTTTGTAGCAAACCCAGATGTTCCATAAACACAGTTATACCAATACTTTCTTGCTTGTCTGCTTAGGAAATTTTTATTTGACATAATACTATCCTTCTGGCAGAGTGATTGCCACCTAATACGTTTTACGATGACCTGTCAATGAGATTTTGCCAGTTTTTCCCATCTTTTGTCTGCTCCAACACACTCGATGCTATGGGCCTGCTGAGCACCTTCCTTCAACATTTTCTGGCTGAACCCTCCATTTTCAACTAGGTTTTTTTCCCTCAAAAGTCTCCTGATAATTACATTTCCAAAGGCACTTTTAAGCTATTTGCTGCAGATATTTATTCATGTGAATATATAATATGCTGGTGAAATAACACCACTAATTACTAACACAGGGTTTACATACAGAGAAGAAATTTGAACTCTAACATCCTTGGTGAAGGAAGGTAGTGGGAGAGGTGTGTGTAGGTAACTTACCTGTCAAATAGTTCTCCACCAGTGACCAGTTCCAGAACAAGACTGATTTCTGTAGGGGTCTCAAATATCTCCTTCAGTTTTATCTGGTAAAAGATTACAGAAAGTATTTGTTTTGCTTATTTGTCTTCTTGCTGAGCGCATCTGAAGGTCAACAGTAGAACACAGACCACAGCTGGGAGAGTTACCTTGTTCTCTCCCAATTTTTTTTGCTAGTTTTTTTATTTTTTTGTACTCTTTTGGTTATTCTCATGCCTCAGTAACCTCTGTGAAATGCAGGAGTTTAAGAGGCCATCTGCCCATCTCTCAGAGAAACCAAAATGTGAGCCCTTTCCTACCCTCCCAGGACTGAAAACACCAATTTTTACTTTCATTTGCAGACCTTCTTTCACATAGTTTCTCACTCAACTCTGTAAGAACATAAATTTTTATCTTAAAATGGAAGTATAACTCAACAGATGTTAATAAAACAGCTGCTAGCATGCCCATGGAGAGAACCCAGAGCTTTGATCCAGGTCTGTACAGGTGAACCAGAACAGTCTTCTCTCTCAAACAGAAAGAGTATTAAAAAACAAGGAAACAAATACGGAGTGAAAGAACATGGCTCTACTTACAATGTTGGGATGTGAAAGGCGAAGAAGAACTCCAATTTCAGTGCGAATAATTTTCTTGTCTACCTGGTTAAAAGTGGTGAGGGAAAAAGGGAAAAAATTATTTCCATGTTCAGCATAGAAACTTCTGGATGAATCACAGGACGCTGTGTATGAATAGCACTTCTATATCTCCCAGAAGAGCAAGGTAATGTGACACACAAGTCAAACATACTGTAAAGAGAAATTTTCCATTAAAACAAGGCAGATGCTATAACAGAGAAATGTCCATCCAGTGAAATGATTACGAAGACACATGTGAGTCACACAAGAAGCACAATACAGGACAGGTATCTGAAAAAGCTGGGAAAATTCCTATATTTACTCAAGTTCTGACCTGGTCTGTTGCTACTTATGTTTGTTAAGTTTATGCTAGGATAGCTTTCTCTTGATAGACTGTCCAGCAGCTGTGATGGAAAAGGTTTCTGCAGGCAGCATGTGCTCACCAAAGCAGTGTAACTTACTGCTTAGAACAAAAACGTGCTGCAAACGTCAAATACCTCCAGCCACAGAGTTTAACATCAATTTGCCTCAATTATCTCTGACAGAATGATCTATTAATTCAAATTATTGGTTAAACCTCTGAGAAGATTACCCCTCCCCTTTTCAAACTGTAGTCTTCAAAAATCCAGGTGCAACTTATGTTCTGGGGGGACATCAGTCATTTCTCACAAGAAATGCAGAGCTAGGGAGTATTTCACTCAGGAAAGAAAACTGCAGCTCTTCTGGAACTAGAATGCTTAAGCAGGCAAGAATGGAAAATATTTGTAAGCAAATTATGAATATTTTCATGTTTCTATGGTAATTAATTAATTAATACACTTATGAGGAAACTATCTGGTTTGCAAACATTCTCCCAAACCATGGAGAAGTCCTATACTGATGACTCAGGGGCATCTTAAACGAATGAGAGTCAGCAAGTCCCTGTGTGGTGCAAAATTGATGACATACATGATGTCAAGCAGAACATTTGAGAGGGACTTGTGCTGCTTTTTTTTAGTGGAGGCTTTCTATCTAGGCAAGTTTTTGTCTTGGTTTTTCACATCAGATGGGGAATGACTGGCAGTCCTAATATATAAACCTTTAAAGGAGACATGAAATTACCTTCAAATTTTTAGTGAAGAAGACACATGGGGTTTTATCACCTGAAAGAGAGCTATTTCTCTCAGTATTTTTTTTTTCCCCAGCATCAACACAATCCAAGTATCCATTACATTCAGAACTACTGGATAGGCAGAATTTGATTCTCCCCTTGTGTGAATCAGGGACGATTCCAGCTTAGTAATGCCAATGTGCTCTGACTGCAGTGTAAATGAGTAGAGAACTAAAGCCCTCGGGGCTTTCTTAAAACTTACTGACATTCAATCTCTTCTAGTGCCTCTGCCAGGAAGAAAAATGAAGCAAGAAAAACCAACTTTGGACAAATTTAGTGCATGCAAGAAGGAGCAGAAATCAAACATTGAAGAGGAATGAAACATTCCATCACCTGAACATCTAATTGAAGGTAAATAATATGGCAAATAACAAAATCTCCATGGATAAACACTTGCTCTGGGATCAAACCCAGCACTCTTTAAACTTATGACCAATGTATGCTTTATAGATGTTTTTACTTTCTACTCAAAATGTAACAAATGCTTTTTCCTGCCACATAAACCCTGAGCATCAGGTTTGAAGATAGGCTCCCATGAATTTTTCCTAAAATGCTGCTAGCACCAGCCTATGGTCTTGCTCAGCTTTAACATCTCCTTGGCATCACTTTGGGTTTCTTTAATGAGTGCAAACATGCAGCAAAGGCCTCCAAAAGTCACTGCTGGGCAGCAAAGAACTTTTGATGACTCACACAGTAATACACATGACTGTTTTCACACGCTTTGCACCTCAGTCAGGATCAGAAAACTAATGTACAATTGTGCATGGACAGTGATATCCCCAAGAGAGCAGTTTAGACTGAAAAATTTACCTTATCCAAAAGCACTGCTATAGACTGAACAACTCACAGTTTGTGTCCTGCAGTTCTGAAAATGTTTGGGCACCAAGTTCACCTGGCTACCCAAAATCTAAAGATGACTTCTTTGGGCATTGAGTAGTTACAAGTGAGAAACTACAGAGGCCTCCTCTCACCTTGCAGGTAGCAACAAATTAGGTGAAAACATGGACTAAGACTCAGTTTTAGATTCTTGGTTTCAGAGACATTTACTCCCAAACTGTAGGTGAGTTCTTCTGTGATCAAGTTTGTGACCTGGCACACAACTTTCACAATTTCTCAGATGATGAGGTATGAGAAAAAGGTACCTCAAAATACAAGATGATAAGATGCAATGGCAAACATGCTGCAAAGAAATGCTTAGGAGTGTTACATATTTATATGTAATGTCTATTGGGGTAGATTTTACTATAGAAATGGGCATGTATGGGTGATATGAATTGTTCCAGAGTAAAAACAGGGACATATTTAGTCATGACATTTCATTACAGACAGCCTATTTTATCACATTTATTTTCTTACCTTCTCCTACACTAAGTACAAATACAATTGCATCAACACTTACCTTGTTTTAGCTCCTACAAAAAATAGGTACCTACTTATATCAGGGCCAAACCTGGCTTATTTTTAGTTTGGGCAGGAGTATCAGCAATTCAACTACTTATACTGAATTTTCCTATCATCATCCTATCAAATAATTTCCTGACAGAAATTATTTGCTAGGATGAGAGTCAGGAATCTCACTCTAAAATGTATGTTGCTATAGTAACGATTTTTAAAACTCGGATAATTTAATCAAAATATGCCATTGCCACAAATATTTGGGCAAATTAAGTATGTTTGGCTAGATCAAATACAGTAGTCTGATATATGTGTATGTAATAACTGATCAAAATGAGGCTGTGAAACTCTTTATTTTGTCTCCTCCTCTTTGGATGCAATTTAAATACGCATTACAGTGCTTGAAAACTATCTGAGCTTTCCTTAAATCAGCATTACTCACAGGAGCATCAGTGAAATATGTATGAGTATATCACAGTCAAGGATGATGGGATCAGTAGAACTGATCTGAAAACCATGAACATCTGATGGTGATAATTCCTGGATTATTTCTAGTATTTGTCTCTCCAGTTATTTCATTGCAGTAGAATTAGGTAGTTATCTCTTTTATAGACATGTTTCTGCAATTACCCTGTCTTTGAAATTTCATACTGATCATGCAGAAAAGGAGCAATAGATTTATATTCAGTGTATTTCTTATTTTTTAATTTCAGATTATTTTGACAAGAGAAACTAATGGAAAAATTTGTTAACAAAAGCTGAGATTCTTCCATGTTTCCATGCCCCAAGATGGTGAGTTGGAGTAATGCTAAAAACCACTGGGATGTAAAAGTGTTGTTTCTGTGTGAATTAAATGAAACAAGATAAAATGAACCACCACTTTACACAGATTAATCCAGCTACTGCTTTACAATATAGTACTGCCCTAAAAACAGGTGGTCAGTGGATGTTCTCTGTGCCCTCAAACTTAGTAGAGAGCAAGAAGAAGAGCACATTCCTCATCCTGCAAGTTCAGTCTCTGCTGTTCTCCTTCCCCTGGGCACGGTGGAGGCAAAGGGGCACATCTGCCCAGGTGTGACCACTGTGCAGGTCGTGTGACCACTGTGCCCAAGCAGTGGGTGTGAAGAAAACACCCAAAACATCTCTTGAGGAGCTTCACAGAACTGCCCACCTCAGGGAACCTGTTCACACCAGCTCTGCACAGCTCCTTAGTCCATATGCCACTTCCTGACTCACATGAACAACTCTAATAAGAGCAATGAATTCTTTATTGAATCAGGTCAGGCTCTGACTGTGCTTCTCTGCACTTACAGGGATCACGGTGCAAAGCATTATTAGCTTGACACTACACTATTAAAAGTGCTTCCAAGAAACAAAGTTTTATTTGCTCACACAATAACTGCTCTGAAGACTAAACCTTCCTGTATTTTATGGCATCAATTGCTAACTACCATTTATAATTTTGCCATTGTTTTTCCTTCTCACAGTTAAGCTGAAATATTAAAACCTGTACAGACATAGACTACACACAAGCAGAGCTGTCAGCTCCCTGATTGTCTAAAAGGTCTGTTCCCACTTGTCACAACTAAACACAGGAGTGGTGAGTTACCCAGGCTCTCTTGAGAGGTTTGAAGAAAAAAGAAATGGGCTTGAATTTAATGACTGAGTTTAAATAAATCTTCACAAGAAGAAGGTTCAAAGAAGATCTTTTCTATGCAGTTTAAGGTCTTGCTTTTCAATTCCAGAATGTCCTGAATGACAGGAGTTCCAGTTTCTGCCTGTTTTATACACAGAATATCTTCAGTTAAGACTTCAAGGATAAAACATTAAAGAAGACTTCTGAAGGTGTTTTTACATCTTTATTAAGATGGATAGTATTGAAATAATCTGATTTCATCTATGTATCAAGGCAAGATACAGATGTCAGTCTTCAGCATAAGTGATAATGAAGCATGGAAGTTACAAAAAGTGGTATGATAGAAAAACCCCAGGACAAATAAAAATAGAGACTTATATGATACAGCTCATTCTCTAAATTACTCTGATGTAATTCAGTAATCATGGCAATGGACAGTAGGTAAAAGCTGAAGTTCAAGAAGTTGACTCTTCTGAATGAAAGGACACATCATTGTTCCAACTAGGACATTTATTTAATAGTTGCTTCAGATGATTTGATTAATTGAATGACCTTTTTGAATGAAAATAGCAGTTTCTCAAGTAAAGAATTCCTCCTGTGTTCTAGTGGCTGTTCTTGGTGGGACATTGCTTGACCTCAGCATGGATTGCAGTTCTCTCTCGTGTGGGAACATTTGATCTCCTAATGGACTAATATTATCTTAAAAAAAAAATTGTTTGAAATAATATTTTCATATTTTAAGCTGGCCAGGCTATTCTGGATGTGTCTGCAATCAGCCTTAACCTGGGCTCCCTGAAGAGCACAATAAACAACTCAATAAAGCACAACAGCCACTGCACAGCC